CGACTGACAACAATACGAATACTGTGTATGGGAGCAAGAATGCTCCTATGAATGCGTGGCCCAGATAAAGGTAATCCAAGGCAAACAATACAGAAGGTATTCAGGGAAAGAGGTGGCAAGCAGCTGGTCCAACTCTCTTTACACAAAGGTAGAAAAATCACTTCAAGGGGAAATGTCTACTGGCAATTCTTGACTTACAACCGTTCACTTAGGGATCATTCAAAGTTACAACGGCACTGAAAAAAGTGAATTTTTTTTCACACAAGCGTTGCAGTTTCCCTGCAGGCATGCAATTAAAATTCAGACACTTGGCAACTGATTCAGATTTATGACGGTTACAGCGTCCCCGGGGTCATGTTGATCCCCTTTGGCGACCTTCTGACAAGCAAAGTCAACAAGGGAACCAGATTCACTTAACAACCGGGTTACTAACTCATCAACTGCAGTGATTCATCTAACAACTGAGGCAAGGTTGTAAATCGGGGCAACACTTGCTTAACAAAGGTCTCACTTAACAACAGAAAAGTTGGGTTCAACTGTGATCTTAAGTTGAGGACAAGACATGGCTCCAGAAAAGTGGCATTCTACCCTGGGTGTTTATTAATAAATAAACAACACATCCTCTCCAGCAAAGCCTGGATTGACTTTTCAAGTAGCTCTTAGTCCTGCTGGAAAACTTAAGCATCCCAACTTTCAGCAGTTGCAGCATATTTCCCTTTGTGACAGGACTATAAATTGAAGCAAATGTGGGCATTTTGCCACGAAGCCATAGATTCATTCTTCAGGCAGTGCCCTGCGGCCTTGTAACTTTTTCTGGAAAATGACGGATGGAGCCTAATCAAAAATACGTTCTTTTTGATGTACATTGGAAATAAGTCATTTCTTCCTGGTAATTCACTTCAAATGATTTTAAAATCCTTTTACACGTTTGGATGATTTAATACCCTTAAGTTGAAACATGAAGCACCCTGCAGGAATCGGTGCTGTTCTTCCTACCAGTCGGCCTTAAATCACGGATCACATCATCCAGAGCACTTTCATAACTTGGAGATCTTACTGCAATCATTTTTATGTTGAGCTTGTAATGAAGCAACTGTAAAAAAAGTAGTCATGAATTTGCAGTGAACTTTAAAGGGAAAAAAAATCTGATAAATTGGAGAATCGGTTGTTCTAACCGGGGAAATAAACAGCAAGGAATGTCTTTGGCTTTGCTAATTCGGAGAAGACTGAAGATTTAAACTAAGATGTGTATGTGACACATGACCACAACTGAGCTCAAAATTTCTGTTGCTAATTGAAATTAATTGAATTTTGCCCCGTTTTACGACCTTTCTTGCCACAGTCGTTAAATGAGTAACACGGTCGTGAAGCGAATCTTGCTTCCCCTTCAACTTTGCTTGTCAGAAGATCACAAAAGGGGATCATGTGACTCTGGGACAATGCGACCATCATAAACATGAATCAGTTGCCAAGAGTCTGAATTTTGATCCTGTGTCCGTGGCGATGCTGCAACAGCCGTAAATGTGAAATACGGTCATAAGTTACTCCTTAGTGCTGTTGTAACTTCGAACAGTCACTAAATGCACCGTTGTAAATCAAGGACTATCTTAATAATATTCTTGTCTCCACTGTTAACGTATCCTCCAATTATTTTTGGCATTTCATGGATTAAGAAGCACTGTGGCGTCGTGGTTAAGGTGACTTTATAATTTTATTTATTTATTTATAATTTAATTTGTATCCCGCCCTTCTCCTCACCGGACTCAGGGCGGCTAACAGCCTTATAAAACAACATTACAATAAATATCCATATTAAAACCAAATTAAAAGAAAATATTCGTAAAGGCCAATCGTTAAAATTACCCTTAAAATTACCCTTAAAAACCCCACTAAAATTCCCTAGGCCA